TTGGGGCTTGGGGTTTAGGGGGGTCGGGAAGCTTGGCTTCAGGGTTAGGTTTCGAGGGTTTGAGGTGGCTTTTGACAGGAGGGTGGTGCCCAAGGCCTCGCAAACAAATCACGGTCCTAAACCTTAAACCCGAAACCCTAAACCCTAGCCCTAAACCCTAAACCCTAAACCCTCAACCCTAAACCCTAAACCCTAAACCCTGATGAGGGCTCACAAGGCCGCTGCCCCATGGGAAACAGCCTCTGTGCCAACCCGAAGCTCCAGTACCCAGCCAAGATGCCAGCGGGGTTGATGACCTTGGCAGTCTGAGGACAAGAGGCCCCTGCATAAGGGGAGCCGATCGAGAACAGGATAAGTTATAAACCCTAAACCCTAAACCGAAAACCCTAAACCCTAAACCCCAAACCCTAAAGAACAAGAATCCGAGCAACATGCAAGGCAACAGCACAAACGTGAATGCCAGTGGGGCGTTCAAGCACTTCGCACGGAACGGTCTGATGCCTTAAAAGCCATGCAAGTTAGGGCAAGGCTTGGGGAGGGTTGTTGCATACTTAGCTTCTAGGGCTTACGGGATAGGAGGATTCCGCGCTCAACTTTGCACTCACAGATCTCAGCGTCGAGCGATTGCATCCGCATCTGAGTTTGCGAGCAGCCTGCCATGTGCGCACGCAGGCCGTGGACTGCCCAAAGCCTACACCCCAACAAGCACGACGCCCAAAATACAGGGGCTCTGGGAGTTCGGGTGCAGGATCCAGGGGTTCAGCAGTCCCTCCCCAACACCCCGCCAGTTTGGACTTGCACCTGGGCCCAGGAACATCCTCCCTTCTTGCATTAAAGTTGTGCAGGTGGTTGAGTCTGCCAAGTTGTACATGCCTGGATCGTTCTGTTTGCGTTTAAAAAATGCTAAACCCCCCGCCCCCTCCGAGTCTGCGAAGCTGTACATGACTGGATCATTCACTTGTTTGCAGGCGGGCTGGGTTGCGCCTAAACCCTACACCCTTTTCAAGGCTTGCTGCCCCTTGCTGTTGTTTAGCTGTTTAGCATGTTGGTGATAGTACATTGTTTTTGATGAACGCCTCCTGGCGTACCCTTTGTCAATCTCAGTGTTTTGGAGTTGGCCAAACCAAGACCAAATTACAGCACTTCGGGTTGTCCACCACGCCAAGATGCAATTGAGCGGCCAAACAAGGAAACGCGGACATCTACGAGCATCCTTTACGCCGGCGTACACACTTCGCGGAGCGATGCAGCATCAGCAAAATCGCACGGGACCCAGGGAGGAGCACGATTTAGACCACTAGTCTACATAGACCCCCGAACCTGTACTCAAGCGGATTTCCTAAAAGACGATAAACCCTTCGAGAGGAGCCTGATGCATTCGTCCAGGTCGTTGGTCTGCAGATGCTCGACTGCCACGCCCAGCTCCGCAGCGGTGGCGCGAATGTGAGCGTCCTCAATAGGAGGGTTCTGGATAGAGGGTTTGGGGTTTTAGGCCGTTCTTTGATGTTCGACGGGGCAGATCCACATCTGCTTCCGATTCAATGACGGCAAGGATCGTAGTCAGCAAGTTGCGCAGACGAGCGGAAGTACACCCGCGACTCTTCCGTCGTGCCTCTGGTGTCCAAGCCTGTCGCGAATCTAGTTCCAGGCCAACAGAACTAGGGAGCAACACCGACGCCCAAGCGACATCCGAATAAAGTGATGGTTGTGAGTGAGAAGGGACTTGCAACATGACAAAAGCATACAACTCAATAGAACATTCCATGCATCTCATCTGGTACATAGAATGCAAAACAAGATTGCTTTCATCCGAATAAACATCCTGAAGCATTTCAAGGCGGCTACCCAATGTGTGCTGCGAAGAGTGCGAGAACCCCTTTCGAGAAACGGGCACATTCCGCCTTTGCCATTCAGCACCTCAGCACCAGAGGAAGGCTGCGTTGCATCTTAACATCAAGCAGGACATCCAAGCAAGAGCATGGACTGTCAGCCTCGCTTGGGCTAGCAAGTGATCTTGAGCATGCCAATACCTGAAAAGGCTCAAGGCCCGAACCTCTCAAAACTTCAAAGCCCAACAAGCAACAGCTTTTTCAACCACCCTCACGCCCTGAACCCCAAGCCCTAAACCCTAAACCCAAAATCCTAAACTCCAACCACGAAGTGAACTTCGAAGCCATGGCACCAGAAGCCGCACAGCGCCGGCCATGGTTTGAAAGCAGAAGCAGGCGCTGGGACGCTATGGATCTACTGCTACGTGTCGTTTTGGGGCCTGGGTTGTTTTGGGGTTTAGGGTTTAGGGTTAAGGGTTTAGGGATTAGGGTTTAGGGTTTCGGGTTTAGGGTTCTCAGATGGCTTGTTTGTTTTTTTAGGGTTTAGGCTGAGAGCCTTCGGGTTTAGCGGTGAACAGGCACTGAGAGGTTGCTGACAAAGACAAAGACGCGAAATGCACTCTGACCTCAGCCACGTGACTCTTTCATTCTCCCCCTTGCGCGTGCTGGCGCAACCAGGGTTTAGGGTTTCGGGTTTAGGGTTTAGGGTTTAGGGTTTAGGGTTTAGGGTTTAGGGTTTAGGGTATCAAACTCCTCTACTCTTGAGGTTCCTTCTTCATTGAGGGATTCGGCGATATGAGAAACAGCCCCAGTCAGAGACTCGCGACCCCTAAGCCACCCTCATTGTGGTTTCGAAGCCCCGTAAGAATCGCGCGGTCGATGGTTCAGGGCAGAAGCTTTAGGATTTGGGCATAGAGTGTGGGCACACCCTAAACCCTGAACCCTAAACATCCCTAAACCCTAAACCCTAACTCTAAACCCTAAACCTAAACCCTGAATCGAGGAAGGGCCCCTGCTGGAGGGCGAAGTTCCTCTCGGGCTTCGTGCACCTGCGTGCTTGTTACCATCCCACGCCCAGCCTGCCTTCTACCCCCATGGCTGGAAAGAAAGGCAAAGAGCCCAAACCCTGGGCCCAGAAGAAGATAGTCATGTGCAAAAACCTCTTCCTTCCTTAAAACGAGCGTCATGGGCTGAAGCTCTTCAATTTGTGCTGCAGGTCTCAGCCTTATTGGGGGACTTGAAGGCAAATATCTGCCGGCCGAGCTACGGGCTCCGAACCCTAAACCCTAAACCCCAAACCCTAAACCCCAAACCCTAAGCATGGCTTTGTAGCCCTGGGTTTTACGGGGCTTTAGGGGGCTTCAAAGGTTTGGGTGTTTAAGGGCCCTAAACCCTAAACCCTAAACCCTAAACCCTAAACCCTAAACCCTAAACCCTAAACCCGGGCTTACGGGCTTGGGGTTGACAGATCATGACCGTCACTTTCATCGTCTTGCCGAGCCTGCGGACGCCGCCACGCTCGACGAAGGCCTGCGGCTTGGCGTTCAATTGAGGTTTAGGGTTTAGGGTTTAGGGTTTAGGGTTTAGGGTTTAGGGTTTAGGGTTTAGGGTTTAGGGCTCAGGGTTTAGGGTTTAGGGTTTAGGGTCATCGAGTTCAGACGGGAGTTCCCAGAGCATGGTACCTCTTGCGGCTGTTCCGACAACAAGGATTCAAGTATTCTGGGGGTCGATTTAAGGGTAGAACTAATTGGGGAAATACCCCGATGGCTACGTTGTCAACTACTCTCGACGCAGTACAGGACGTTGATTGCCTCTCCTTTGCGCCAAAACGACATGCGCCGGAAACTGAAAAAGCTTTGCACGTACACCAAACAATGCAACACCGAGGCCCCCACCGAGCCGTCATGCATTGAACTGCGTAGGCAAGTCGCCAAGGATTCGCAAAGCTCTGCGTCTTCACTGCGTTCTGACTCACGCGGATATGTTGCAATTGACAGGATGCCTCGTCGACCATGTCAATCCCTCGAATAACATAAGACTTTCGATGCGGTGTCATGCACTTGATGCGCTGCCAACCATGGCGAGAGTCGGAGAGTCCACGAGCAGACGAACTGCCCAAGAGTAACAATGACTGCCATCACAAAAGCTCTTCTCTCAGAAGCACCGTGTAGCTCTGCTCTGGTTTTATGCTTTCACGCCCTGCTGTTTTCAAAGTCTCGCAACTCACTCGGGCATCTTGAAAACTTGGCCACAAGCCTCGGTCTTCGAGTCGTGTCTATGTGACATAGCCATCGAGGAGCGCGGAACTTGCAAACAGGCTAGAAGTAAGAACTTTATCCGCGCAATTGCACACTATTTCATACAGGACTCGGGTGTGTGGTGGATTTAGTGGATTAGGATATGTCCTCAGCCTGCGCAACGCCGCTACGCAGCGTGCTGCAAGCAAGCAGCCGTATCCAAAAATGACGGCGAGATCGTCATGTCTGGGTCAAGAACTCCGAGCAGACTTCAGGAGGAAGGCAAGTGTTTAGGGTTTAGGGTTTAGGGTTTAGGGTTTAGGGTTTAGGGTTTAGGGTTTAGGGTTTAGGGTTTAGGGTTTAGGGTTAGGGTTTAGGGTTTAGGGTTTAGGGTTTAGGGTTTAGGGTTTAGGGTTTAGGGTCTAGGGTCTAGGGTCTAGGGTTTAGGGTTTAGGGTTTAGGGTTTAGGGTTTAGGGTTTAGGGTTTAGGGTTTAGGGGGGAGCAAGACCCAGAACACAACTAACGCAAGGCGCAGCAATTAGGTGGGAGTCTCGGTGCATTGCCGAAAAACCCAAGCCTGGTGGCCATGTCTCGTGGACAACAATGTCATGATGTCAGTAGTTGCAAACTTGAGTGGGTTGCATTCCATTCGTTTCATGCTGCCGTGCTGCTTTTTTGTGCAGTCGAGAAACTTCAGGGTCCTTAGGCAGCTTAGGCAGATAAGTGCCATTCAGGCTTTGACAAGGAAGTGTGCAGTGAAACAAAAAAAAAAGGCCATGTAGCACCGGTTTCCATCGCTCGCGTGGAAAAGGTGTGGAGGTTACCACATGAAGTCGGTAGATCTTCAGCAACAAGGCCGTGCTCTGCTTTGATTGGGCAGTTGTGCAGCGCTGCAACTGTTGTGCTGCTCAGAGCTTACAAGGGGACGTCAACTCATCTGGTCATCAGCCGCGTCAGCGCTGGTGGTTGATGCGGTGGGCGCCAGCAGTATCCTTACAGTGTCCATGCTTTTTGTGTCAGGAAGCTAGTTCAATCATACGTGCATCCGTTCTATATATGCACTGTAGCCTAACAAGCCAATCAATGCTTGGCAAGACGCCCTCCGGCTTCTGATATCCGTAGAGCTCGAGCGCCTCATCTGCAACTGCAGGTCCGCGGCTGCCATATGGGTACCTCGTCAGCTGCAACAGTCCCTCAGGCCCAGCTTGAGCTCGGATTTCGTGGCAAGGACTCATGCTAAACCTGGCTCTGACATTCCTAAACCCTAAACCCTAAACCCTAAACCCGATAGTCGCGCGTTCCAATTGTGTCAAGCTGCGGCTTCGGCTGCCAGTCCGCGATCTTCTCCTTCATGCCAGGACCCCATGAGGGTTTAGGGTTTAGGGTTTAGGGTTTAGGGTTTAGGGTTTAGGGTTTAGGGTTTAGGGTTTAGGGTTTAGGGTTTAGGGTTTAGGGTTTAGGGGAGTCGAGAGGCGTATTCTATCGGAAAGATGTAGTCTAGGGTTTCGGGTTTAGGGTTACTCATAGAGAGCACTGCAGTATACGATGAGGTGTGTTCTCAGACGTGAGGAATGAGGATGACGAACCCATGATACTCCATTCACTGGATTCCCTTCAAGCGGAGTTCACGAAACTGCCTTCAGTTCCTTCCTTCGGGAAGCCTAAACCCTAACCTTAAACTCTAAACCTCAATTGCAAATAACCTGGAGAAGACAAGCATTTGACCCTAAACCCTAAACCCTAAACCCCTAAACTTGGAGGGGTTCAACCACAGCCGAGGCTCCAGAAAGGGAGTGAAGAGTTCCCAAGAGCGCATGAGCTCGTCATCTCGAACAAAGCCTCGAGAACAACTCGAGGGATGTCGGGGAAGTCGGCTCAGTTAGAACTGTGCTTATAACCAAGGATAACCAAGGATAACCATATTCGGGCACCGAAAGGGTTTTTAAGTGGGTTTTTCAGTGCAGTCATAATTGGGTGATAAGTACCCTGAACTTCCAAGTGGGCTCGGACCGATTTCAAAACACAAAAGCTCCCACTTTCTGTCAGAAGGCTCTCGGACTGTCCGCGAATGCCAGCGAGAATCAGGCGAGTGTAAGCGGAGGGGCAATAGATGCCAGGATATCGAACCGAGTACGAGAGATCCATTTCACCTTAGGCATTGGTTTGCTACAATTGGGGCCCCATGTACGGGATGGTGAGGGGGCGCCTGTGATACTGCCCTGGGGAGCATTAAGCCAAGTCACTTTGCATCAGCTGCTTGGAAAGGCCAGGAGACTTTACCGACATCTTCATGTAAATTGCTTCTCCAGGAGAGACGCGAAGAACCAACTCGTTTCTGGCGGGGTATTGCTCTCCGAAGAGCTTGCCACAGCCCTCCGCTTCCTTGAACTGCACCCGGATCTCGCACTTACACTCATCGATGGCTTTTCCGGCCCGGACGATGAAGTTCACGCCTGGACACTGAGAAGGGCTGTGGTCTGAGTCAGAGCGCAATTTAATGTCGAGTCACGTTCATGAACTGCATCCGCCCCAACCTAAAAATCCCTGTCTGTGATTGATGTTCTTGTTCTTCTTTATAGTGATGACGATGGTTATTGTTCCTTTTGTGGTCCTGCGCGTCTTGAAATTTTTGATCCTTGGACGCTCTTGACAATATTGACATTATTGACATTATTGACATTTTGTGACATTATTGACATTACTGACATTATTGACATTATTGACATTCTTGACATTATTGACAGTATTGACACTTTTGACATTGTTGACATTCGTGGCATTGTTGATACTATTCATATTCTTGATACTTACTATCTTGTGTCTGCACATACTTGTGGTACTACTGATATGATTGCTGTTAGCACCCTATTGCAATAACTGATATCTATAACTTCTCTTCCCCCACCTTGCCAGCGCTCGTTGTTGATGCGGACAACCATCTGGCAGAACGTGGGGCACTTCTTCGCCATGTCGCGATCTGCTTCTGTGATCGAGTCGTCCTCGAGGTAGCCCGGCTTTCCTTTCGCGCCCACGTATTGCCCAAGGACCACCGAGGAGGGATCGAAAGGCTCCATGGCTTTGAGGAGTTCCACCTTCCGATCTCGGACGTCAGCCTCCCAGTCCATATCACCTGGCCTTTCCATAGCCACCAAGCACAGCATCTGCAGCAAGTGATTCTGGATGACATCTCGAATGATGCCGTACTTCGTGAAGTAGCCTCCACGCCCTTCCGTTCCAAAGTCCTCTTTCAATGTCACCCTGACTGCAGCCACGTGCTTGTTGTTCATTAAAGGCTCCAAGAACTGGTTCCCAAAGCGCACGGAGAGGATGTTCTGGCAAATCTCATATCCCAAAAAATGATCCATGCGGTAAATCTCCTCCTCTTTGAAAAGGGCAGATAGGCCTTCCTGCAACTCCTGCCTGGGTTGGGATTTTAGGGCCGTTGCGTTTCTAGGGCTTACAAGTAGGGTTTGCAAGGGGGCTTCCGGATTGGGGTACCTTATTGGCGTCCTTACTATAAGGTACTCGTACAGTACGACTTGCGGGACTCAACTAGGGGGCGCCTTGTTTACGTAAACCCCCATATGCAAACAAGATGTAATGCCTAAAAACCCTAAACCCTAAACCCTAAACCCTAAACCACCTCCGGGTTGCGCGGATGTGAGGTCATGTCCAAAAGGCTTCTCAATGATGAGCCGTGTGGACCCATCCTTCGCCATGGCGACCTCCTTGATGGCCTTGGCGGCTCCTTGAAATACAAAGGGGGGAATGGCGAAGTAGAAGATTCTGAAGGACTGCTTCTTTGGGGCGTCGTTGTCGTCGAGGTGAAACCTCTCCTCCTCCACGGTCAGCAGCTTGTCGAGCTCTGTCATTGCCTCAACGGAATCGTAGGCTCCGGCACAATAGTGCACCTTCTTCAGGAAGGCTGGGATACTGTCTCGAACCTCTGGCATGTCTTGGCAAACGTGCGACTTGGCCAGGGCCTCAGACAAGTACGCCCGGAAGTCTTCCGTGGTCATGCTCTTGCGCGCAAAGCCCACGATGACGGCCTCATGCTGCAGGTAGTCATGTGCGAACAAGTCCAGCAGAGCAGGGAAGGTCTCTTTCTTGGCTAGGTCCCCCGTAGCCCCGAGCACCGTCACGGAAAGCTTCCCAGACCTCCAGGCTTCTTGCTCAAGGCCTATGGAGGCCGCACTGGGGGCAGGTTGCTGCTTAGGCGCCTCACCCAAGGCAATGCCTGCTTTCCCCAAGGCCTCCTTCACGTTCTTCTGGGAAGTGTCCACCACATGAAGCAGCTCCTCAAAGTCCGCCTTGGAGAAGCTGACTTGGGTGGCCTGAGGTGGCAAGGAGGCCGCACTTCCCATGGCCCGAGCGCGCAGCAGCACCTCCCAAGCTCTCTCCCTCGCCCCGCTTTCGCAACCCCAAAACTCGTCTAGGCATAACCTTGTGCTGGAAGCTGATGCTGATACTGCTTTAAAGTCATATATAGCCATATATAGTCATTGACTCATAGGCCAATGTTCAACAAAAGATCTCAAGTGACTGCTCTTTCGAGCCAATGGTTGCGGAAAGTATCCACAAAAACCTCCAAGCAGCATGCTGCAACTTGTTACAAACTTTGGGCGTACGATAATCAGGAAGGCCCTCTGGCTTGCTTGTACTACAAGCGCCGTCTAGGACAGCTGGACGGAAAATCCCAGGGAGGGCACTTCGCAGGAGACTAAGATAAGGTATATAATAAGTATATAAGGGTACAAAGGTTCGAAAGTCGCTATTCGGGGGGGTGTCAAGGAGTTCTGGGAAAACCAGCCACCTCTTCAAATCGGAGGGTTTGGAGCTTGGCACCTGGGGTTTGGGTCAAAGCTGTTAGACACTAACTCCAAAACGATTTGGGGATCTTTGGGGTCCAAGATGAAAGCAGAGCAAGAACCATCCCAGATCCAGATGAGGTAGTATCTTTATCAAAGTTTTGTATATATACTCTATACCTTAAACTCTAAAGCCTCCTTCATTTTCGAACCTTGAAGGGCGGGATGCGATCCTTGCGGTCACCGTCTTCGGGCTGACGCGCTTCGGGCCCACTGCGGGCTGAGTAAGGGGTTTGGGGTTAGGGATGAGGCTCACAGTCCAAGACTTAGGGCCATCGGCTCTTCTGCCAGAGTTTCCCGATCCCCGTAGCGGCTACCCCCCCCCCCCCATTTTTCCAGGTGCAGCAAGCCTCCGAGTATTTTTCTGGGGGGGGTGGGGGGGGTTGGGGGGGGGCTTATTGGCCCCCTGGTCCTTTGAGCCAGGAGGCCGAAGAAGCTAGTTGGGGCCCCCCCTCGGATACCGAACGCAATCGTCACTGCCAGGCTTCCCTTGAGCGGTCTTTGGGGATCAAGACGATGAGCGGGTGCTTGCTCCAAGGTGCCTGGCGAGCTCTCTTCCGCGCGCGTGAAGTGCTCAAAGGCGGTGACGTCATGCTCCTGATAGTGCCAACCCATCTTCTCCAAATATGCAACTTCCGCTGTCTGAGATAAGCCAAGGCCGGTGCTCTGCCGTGCCTCTTGCACGGCGGTCGCGTCAGAAAGCTGCTCCCAGGAGAGCTTGCCCATACCAACTTTGCCTTCGAAGTAGAAGACGTGAAGGGTCTGCCCCCATTGAATTGCCTGCTCCACGTTCCTTCGCCACTCTTCGAACCAGCGGCAGCCCCACGGCGCCCGACCGACCCAGATTTTTTTCGCAGCGCTCCTCAGCGTCTTTGCGCGCCTGTGCAAACTCGGTGTGCCACTGAAACATACTCATCTGCTGGTGCTTGACGACGATGATCTGCCCCATTGCCGCAGCATCAGCTTCCCGGGTTGCCACATCTTCCGGGGAGAGCACTTCTTGACTGTGGTCAAGTACACTGAGATACGCTTGCGCGGGCACCTGGCCGTAGAGGGCTTTGCACCAGCACTCGCCTGGCGCTTCGGGATTGTCCGCATGCTCACCCAACCCGGACTCCTTCTCTGTCAGGAAAACGCAAGCCATGGAGCAAGTGCTGTTCTCCTTGACAAGAAAGACAGCATCATCCCACTGTTGGCCGTACTTCCCCGGGAAACTCACGATGCAATTTGTGGCATCCTTATGGATCTTGCCGGGGAAGCTGATGCGTTTTGAAACCAGGAAGGATGACGTGAAACCTGAAAGCGCGGCAAGTTTTTTATATGTTTCCAGTGGATTCGCCCATGCTTTTGAGGCAAACCATTCCACTGAGAAGGAGCGCATATACGACCTGAAGGCTAGTGTCAACAGTCAGAACGGTCATGGGGAGGAATGTGCTACCGGTCACACTCACCACTGACACATAGCTGATGCCCGGACCCACAATTGCGAGGGCCGCGCTGACATACAATCCCTACGCCGAACACCGGAGGTCGCGATCGCCCTGTCCAAGATGCTCAAAGGCCACGCGGCCCGCATGGCACGGAGACAAGCACTGCAACGTCCAAGTGGCTAATGCACACATACAGGCAGCCGTCAACAGCAGGTAGTGCATTCGTGGGTCAGTTGACACCTCAAGGGCGGCCTCACAAAACCGCATAGCACCAAAGCCAGCCAGGCAACACAAAGCTGTATAAGCCACACGATGGTTGAAGCCCAAGCGGCGTTCCACAGATATTCATCACCGGATTGACCCGCGATGTACAGCATCCATGGGTCGAATCCGATCCATGCCACACACAAGACTATCCGGCGACACCTGCAGCTCCGACGAGGCGCCCCGACGCCAGACGTAGCAGACACCCAGCCCGGAAATCGCCGGCCTTCCAAAACCATCCAGAAATGCGTTGGTCGCGTGCCACCAATCACTGCTGAGCAGGTTCAGTTGCGGGAACAAGGCGCCGAGGTCGCCAGTGCTACTAGCGCCAACCAGGTTGAGGCTGAGCAAGCAAAGGCTATTGGCCACGACGCGGGCAGTTGTATACACCAGCAGCAACACCAACCATGCCACTCTTGACCACCGCGGCGGCCATTCTCCCTGCTCGAGCAGCATCTTCCACGCCGCCATCGGCAGCGTGGCCGTAACGATGCCGGGGGAGGCCCCTGGGAGGGCGACTTTGTCGACCCTGCCCTGTCTAGACTTGTGCCCAAAAGGACGTCAGACATTGAACTGCCGTAGTGCTGTTTCACAAAAAAAACTCCAACATACAAAGGTTGGTAAGCAATTGAGGGCGTCCCACTTCCCACTTCTGTTCGAGACGCAAAGCCGTCCATACACTGCCTGCGGGTACAAGATGCCGCTCCCCGTTTGGGTCACTTTAGCGTTTGCCACCCCACATTTCCTCACGGGCTACACACCTCTACTTCCTCTTGAGTTGAGGGCCTGCCAGAATGCGTCACACCTTCAGTCCTAAACCCACAAATCCTCAAGCCCTACACAAGCCTTAAGCTTGCGGGTGTGTAGGTGTCAGAGAAATTCGAGTCTAGGGCTTCCGAGGTGCAATCACACTGTAAGTCAGATGTTTCGGGTTTAAGGGACAAGGGTTAGGTAAAGGGTTTAGGGTTTAGGGTTCGAGGGAAAGAGTTTAGGGTAGTTTAGGGTTTAAGGGAAACGGTTTGGGGTTTAGGCTTTTAAGACAAAAGGGTTTCCAGTTTAGGGCTTAAGTAGGTTTAGGGTGTAGAGTTTACGGCAAAAAAATTTTAGAAAAAGCCTTGCAGGCGCTTCGGCACTGGCCAAGCAGGGCGGCGACACGGAAATCGACAAAGTCGCCGGCAAGCCAGTTGGGTTGCTACGGTTTCGAATTCAGGGTTCAGGGTGTAGGCTATAGGGTTTAGGGTTTAGGGTTTAGGGTTTGCTGTAATATGGCGCAGATGCTGTGAAGGTTAGGATGAAGAAGAGGCTTGAAAGCTTCGTTAAGCCCGAAGAGCAGGCCTGGCCCGATCATGGAGGGCCATCTAAACCTTTCTCCCGCCCCACGCCGTCCAAGGCGGCAAAGCCACCCTAACCTATCCCCTATAGGGTTTTGGCCTAAGCTCACGTCAACTGACTTTCCAAAAAACCTCTTCCGTCACCGATGGTATGTCAGGCCGGTTCAAGGCCAGAATCTTACGAAGGATCCCAGAAGGTCCCAGGAAGCTGCAGGAGGTCCCGGGCGGCGACAGCAAGGTCCCAGTAGGTCCTAAAAGCCTCGATCTCCTTTTTTTTCACCCCGGCGCCCTGGTCCCTGGATGTCCCTGGGCACGCTTCGCCAAGAGGTCCGACATTGCTGGTGCCATGCTGTCTTCGACATGGCCTGCAGTCATCTCGGCGGCGGCAAGGAGATGCTTTGCACTCCAGGACGTCATGTCTTGAAGCCCACGCTTCAAAGGTTTGAGGGGCGTTGTTTCCTTAGGGGTTTGCGGAGCTTTGGGGTGGTAGAGTTTAAAAGCTTGAGGATCTGTAGTCATTGAGGGCTTATAGGGTCTACTCAGACTCTCGCGGCGCGCACGGTGTCCTCCCAAAAGTGGTGGGGCTATCACTGGGGAGGCCTGCAGTGGGAATGCCTTCCTGCATCAGTGTCTCCGGATCCTTCCGGATGAACCGCATGGTCCTTTCATCGTAGAGCTTCGAAATCGCATGCTGCTTGTGCTTCTTCACGAAGATCAAGCCAAGGAAGGTGCCAAGCACAGAGATCATGCCGCCGACGCCGGTCAGCAAGTCGAATAGCTGGGGAAGTGCTCCCAGCTTCAGCTCTTGCACCATGGTGTCTTTCTGCCCTTTGATGCCAATGGCACATGTCCGAGCATTCGTGTCGGTTGTGACCTCCGGCCGATCTAGAGACCAATGCTCGCCAGGTAGCCATGCTGTGGCCGCATCATGGTGGATGTACGGCAAGCTGAAGTAAGCTGCAACCTCTTGGAAGAACATGTGGTCCCAGCCAACCTGGTTCTGGCATGTGACTTCAGCCACATGTATTCATCCTACAACCTTATATGATTGATCATGGTTCATTCATGGTTACTCGTTCTAGGGAGCTTCCAGCCAACCTGCTTCTTCTGCATGGTGGCAGTGCTACCTCCCGGCTGCACCCAGTTGAACTCCTCCGTCTCCTCCCTCTCCTTGCCTGGACGGAGGCGGATGATGAGATTGTCTCCATTGTTGCCTTAGTGGCTGATTTTCCTGGCCAAAAAAGTCGAACCTTTCCCTTTATTGTCAGACAGAATTGTACTTTACAAGCCCAAAAAGGTGAAAGGCCACCTACTCAGCTACGAAGTTGCAGGTGCTTGCGAGAGCGTAAGTCTCGGTAGCTGAGCTCTCCCATGGGCTGAAGTCAGCACAGGCACAGTCCGAAGCTTCGAACTGCAAGGGTGGGTTGTGCTCCTCGAGAACCTCAGGTCGCCAGGGTTCTTAGGGTTTAAGCCCTCTAGGGTCTAGGGCCTTTATTGTCTAGGGTTGAGGGCTTAAGGGCCTTTATGTTTAGAATTTAGGGCCTTTTGGGTATAGGGCTTCTTCCGTGGGCTTGACAAAATACTCTGACTCTTTGCGTTTCTGTTGAGAGACAGGGGGTGGCTACCAGGCAGAGGGAGAGGCATTCCTTCCAAACGCCTCATTCTGGGCTCACCCGAGGCTGGTGCTTGGGCTACTTGTTCCTAATGGCATCGACTGCCACCTCCGGGATTCCTATAGGGGCCTTGATAGTTAGAAAAAGGGTTCTGAGGTATATTATAGTATAAACACGTTAGGAAACCTAAGGAATAGTCTTACTCGCTACTCAGGCGTCTATATTATGGATGTAAGACATCATGATCTGTTGCTCCTTGCCTTATACATGGAACCAAGGAGCCACGTCGACATACTGTGGTTCACGATGTCCAGAAAAGATGTACCCCATAGCCCTTTGCACCTTGCCACCCCATACGCAGCATAAACATGCATATGGCATGTTGCCCACAGGGACGACACTGAAGTGGATGGGTGGCGCTCCCAGGACAATCGCCCACACCTAGGAGACCACATGTACAAACAAGTCAAAGAGGTTCGACAAGCAAACCCTTACGGAAAAAAAAGACATCTTTTCGCTTAATGTCGCGGCCCGGGTACTCGAGTTATACCGTACGACGCCAACGCCAACAGGGCAACAACTTGCATCACCAATGCGATCTTGCGATTCTGAACATCCACATCGGTATACTGAAACATGGCTCGGGAAACTCTACTATAGGGGCCTGAATAATTAGAACAGGGTTTTTTGGGGGGTTTTTGTAGTATAACTACAAAGGGACCACAAGGGAATACGATTAGTAATTATTCCGACCCCTTTGTTATCTGAAGCAAAGCCCCACGGCTGCGGGACACAGCGCGAAAGGACGCGGCAAGCCTTGCCTGGATCAGGGTTTAGGGGTTAGGGTTTAGGGTTTAGGGTTTAGGGTTTAGGGTTTCGGGTTTAGGGTTTAGGGTTCCAACTCTGGATTTAACCTCTCATCCATCTTCGCCCATTTGTGGGCAAGCGCGTGCGCAATTTCGAAGCAGAATTGCTGCGGACGAAAGACATGCCGGATTCGGGCTTGGGGTTTAGGGTCTATAGGTTTTGGGCTTAGGGAAGCAGCTAAACAAGGCTCAAGGTCTTGGGGTGCAGGTTTCAGGTAATGAAGGGTTACGGCCATGTTGACTCTTCCCAGAACCCTGTTTGGTCTAGGACCTTGTCTTCGTGTACATTCTCTGAGATTGCCCAGTAGAGCCTGGAAAGAAGGTACCGTTTTCCTACCAGTTTGTTTTAACAAGTAACCCCAAAGTAAGAAGGGAGAAAGGGCCCAGTTCTTTCTAGCAGTTACAAAAAGTCCTGTCTCAAAGTTAAGGTTGCTCTGGCTGTCATCTCCCTCACTCTGAGACCTTACTTATACTGTGTTAGAATGTGCTAGAAGCATGAAAGGTCTGGCAACTAGGATCGTGTCCTCGAAACCTTCCCAACCTTTAAGGCCCTTTAAAGGACACGCCATTAAGGGGTTGACAGCCCAAGAATAGCACATGTTAATAACCGCTCTGGAACAGTATGAATGGATATGAATGGGCCGTTAGCCGCTTCCAACCGCACCTGTCATTGACCGCCTTTTGAACCAGTTAGAACCTTCATATCCAGCACAAGGAACCTTCCGGGGCCCAACTAAAGCCGGCTAAAATCTTGAATTGCAAGCGCATGCACACCTCCGAAGGCCCCCTCAAATTCCCACAAACACAACTCAAAAGCCTGACCCCTTGAACAGCCCTGCAACTCGTCATCGCGCTGCAGAACCTGTGTTCCGTGAAATTCCAGGTCTGACCTCGGAGGGTAAATCCAAAAACGTCTCGGCCGTTTCAAAGCCACTTCACATCAGTGGCTTGCGACCCAACACCTTCTCTGCTGCAATGCCAAAAACGCCGGAGGGTTTAGGCCAGGCATGATTCTATGATGTTCGGGATTCGGGCTGCAGTGGAGGATTCAGAGCTGGCCTTCTACCAGTCCCTGACATGTACAAGGAACTCTTCCTTGCCATTGCTCTTGATGTCCAAGGTAATCTTGTCACCGTAAGTGACCTAGGTTGCCCATTCAGAACATCTGCACAACATTAGCACATCAGATCCGCTTAAACCTAATGCGTGAAACTATAAAGTAGCAAACTCTTCACAGGCTTGCCCAGTGACATTCTGTCCCTGTACCATCTCGAACCGGCAGTGACGAAGCAACTCCACTGTAGCAATCTTCGCTTCAAAAAGAGCCATGTCCATGCCTAGGCAAATCCGCGGTCCTGCTTGGAAGACAGGGAACTCGTGGGGCGACGGCGCGGTAAATGGGATCCATCTTTCTGGTCGGAAAGCCTCTGGTTCTGGATATCTTTTGGGATCTCGGCCCATGTTGTAGGGGCAGTAGCCCACCTGTGTAAAAGCTGGCACCTTCCACCCACCGGGCAGGACGTCGTCTTCAAAGGCCATCTTCACATCGAAGGGGACCGGTGGCCAGAGCCGGAGAGCTTCGTAGATCACGCCATTCAGGTATGGCATCTCACTGGCGGATAAGCTCTTCATGTCCAGCTTTGTGCCTGGCAGCTTCTGCATGATCTCCTCATGAAGCCGAGACTGAATGTCTTGGTTCCGGGTGAGTTCGTAGAAGGTCCATGAGAGCAAGCAAGCCGTGGTGTCTCTGCCAGCAATGATCAAATGCAAGACCATCTGCTTCACAAAGTCCGCACTGAACCCCGCCTGCATGAACAAACATTATACCCCTCAACTCCATACTCCCAAAACCCTAAAGTCTGTGCTCAACCCGCCTGCATGAACAGCGACCCCAAACCCTAAACCCTCTACCCTCAACCCTGAAACCCTAAACCCGAAACCCTAAACCCTAAACCCTAGACTCCCGCCTGAATGAAGAGTGCCAGCAAATCTCGTCGCTCAGGAAGCCTCAGTGGTTGAGTTCCCTGGCCAGAAAAGGGTTTAGGGTTTAGGGCTTAGGGTTTAGGGTTAAGTTTAGGGCTTGGGGTTTAGGGGTTTAGGGGTTTCAAGGTGTAAGGCTCTCTACAACACTCCCCCCCCCCAAACAAAAAAAAATAGTCGTCAAGCACATATGCTAGGATTCTGTACACCCCGAAGATAAATGGTTAGCGTTCTTGAATATGTAGCAGGACTCTATCTACTCTATACACCCAACAAAGAACCAAAACCCTAAAACCCAAAGCCTCAAAGCCCAAAACACCTTGAAGGATACCGTTTGGCTAGCAAGAGGCTGTGGATCATCACGGCACTTCTTGACCAAACGATTGGCCTCCCGATCGAGCACTCGGCATGCTGACTTCATTGTCCGGTGCTTCCGGGATAGACGGTCCCAAAGCCAACGAGCTAATCCTCCATGTTGGCCACCAAAGGGCCACGGCAGGAACGTGCTGAACAAGAGGTAGGGCGCAATGGACTCGACAGCATGATTTCGCATGTTCGCCTGTGCCGTGTCGAAGGCCTTACCATACACGTTCCTTGGTTGTCCAGTAACCTGGGGGAATGAAAGGTTAACCTTTGGGATTTTAAGGGGATTATACTACCACAAAAAGGTTAAAGGTTGCCTACTCTACTACTAGGGTTCGGAACACCAACCGCCGTGTTGGACTCCTCTCCAAAGAAGATGCGCATGATGCTGTCGAGTGTGAAGTTGAAGAAGGACGACTGCAAGTCCACCTCCAAGTATCGAAACAGTACCCTAAACCCTAAACAACCCTAAGCCCTAAACCCCAAACCCTCAACCCTAAACCCTAAACCCTCAACCCTAAACCCTAAACCCTAATCCCTCAACCCGAAACCCTGGAGCCCCCAAGTCCACCTGCTTCTTTTCATCTCGAGATCTCTGCAGAAAACGCCGCAAGACCTCTGCCTTCTCTATGAAAACCTCGTTCATCAGGGAGCTGAAATTCTTCCTTACTTCTCCAATCTCCTACAGGAACCCTCAACTACACCCTATATCTTAAACCCCTTACTTCTCCAATTCCTACGGGAACCCTAAACTAAACCCCATAAATCTTCCCAAACCCCCAAAACAGGGTTAAAGGCTACTGACTCTGCGACTACGGAAACCCTAAAGAACTCTCTTTAAAGCCTACACATCCTGAAGCACCCCTCAATTCAAGGCCCTACTAAGCCGCTTATTTGATGTCTAAGCGTCCGACTGAAGATTTGAGCAGAGACCTTGCGCATGTTGCCCCACTCTTGCCCACGATCTTCGGAACCTACCCCATGCTTCACCACGAAAATGCCATCACCCAGGAAATCCTCGACGTAGAAGAAGAACGGATCATACCTTAATTCTGACTTCGTGTACTTGTTGAACTCGTCCTTCAAGATGTGGCGCACGCCCTCTGCGTCGTTCAGGATCACCATGGTCATCCCAGGGTGCCAGCTGAAACCCAGGTTTTTGGAAACAGGTTGCCCTTGACAAATCTCACAACGCCAGTCGTGAATACGGTCGCGGTTCGCTATGAGGTCCTTCAGCCAGCACTTAGTAGGGTAGCTAGAAATGAAACTTTTAACTAGCTGCCCTTGTTAAGAAGCCCAATAAACCCAAAAAGGCTAAGGATCGTTACAGTAAAGCACCACAATGGGTCCTTCAGCCAGCCAGCAGGTTCATCGTGGCCGGGCCCTTTCGTCGCCGGCGTATCTTTCAGAAGGCCTTTCATTCGGGAGGATGCCCTCCATCCCCATATCAAGCGGTAGAGAACCTGGACAGGGAGGGTTTAGGGCTCAGTAGCGTTCAGGGTTTACGGGGCGTGGGGCTGGGGGCTTAGGATTTCGGACGGGGGTTAAAAGTACAGGGTTTTTGCCACCTAAATCCTACATCCTACGCCCTCAACCCTGAACATCCCTGAAGAACCAACCCTAAACCCTAAACCCTGAACCCTGAACCCTGAAGCCAAAACCCTAAAGCCTGGACAGCCCCAAAGATGCCATACCCCAGGAGAGTCGTGGCCGCCAACTGCTTGGAAAGGGCGAATCCCTTCGAGTCATCCGTGGCCATGGCTGGCGACACAAGTTTGGCTGCAGAAATGTTTTACATAAAATGATATGTAGTCACTGTCTCTATACATGCTGGACAAGCTCATCTTGTCTATCTTCGCTATGTTGCCTCATTAATTGCTGTGCTGTTTCTTGATCTTCTTCTTCTTCGTGCAATTAACCTCAAATAACAAAGGCAAGTAAGAAGATAAATGAAGGCTGTGAAAAACAGGCCTGGTACCCAAAACAGTTAGGGGACTCGAGGCTGGTTCACACAGCTACCGCTCTGCTACCTGTGCACCCCACCGGTCAACTAAGCTCCTCGCCGGGGCATGCATTCCGGCGCATTCCTCAGTCCCAGACCGCTGCACTGCTTCAGACCGCTGGAGGTCGACTAACTCTCGCAAAGCAACCTGGCTGCGGGTGAGCGGGACAGCCGGGTGGGCGCAAATTACCGCAATCGCAAGCTTTCCAGGGCGACTGGCGGATAATGCTGCGTTTCTTTGAGATCAAAGTTTTCGCGAATGATCTCCCTTGCAGGTACATGCAAACGTTTCGGACATTGTCCGCACAAATTGCTCATCGTTCGACATCAGCTTCCAAATCTTCCGGATAGGCAATCCATCCCTGTCACCAAGCCTGAAACACAGCCGTGCACTTCGCCGGTGTAATGGGTTCGTTGTTTTGCAAACGAGCGGGTGCTTGCCCATCCCCAGTAGGCACACCTCTGCGGCCATTCTATGACCCATATCCCCACTTGCGGGTGGTTCACTATTGCTAAGAAGCTCTGCCAGAGCTTGCGATGCACCGTGAACAAAGCTTGTAGATGGTCCTGATAGCTCGGCCGATCTTCGTGTCGCCGCTGGTACGGGCTACCTCCGGTACAAGAAGTGCTGCTCCAGAAACAACCTTCATCCCCCATTCTCTTGCAACATTCATTGCAGACATGACCGGCTCCACGGTGTCATTCGAGGCTCCGTCAACCCCTGAGTAATCGGCAGGACAAATACTTGGTGCACACTTCCTTGTAGAACAGATTCAAACGTAAACTCGCACACTCGATCAGCAAAGTTGAGTGTTCAGTCTCGAGTTCGCATAGCCGACAGGAAGTTTCGTATTCGAGGTTGTCTGGCCCGAGCACAGAATCTAGCACTCCAGACAGCCATGACCCTTCGAAGCGGCGACATATCCAAGTCAGCCAGCCGGAACTTCCGGGTCAGTCCGGTAAGGCAGTCCGGAGGTGGCCCATCGATTCCCGAACGACTGGCTGCTCCTCCATGGGCTTCCGCTCCTTTGCCGGCTTCTCCTTCTTGGGCTTCAATGTGGCGTTCTTGGCTGCTCTCGCTTCCATGAAGCGTCGCCAGGCGTCTGGTTCGTTGCCTTGTCGGATTTTTCCTCCAAGGTCTTCTCCTCCCTTTCCTCCAGAAACTTTACCCAGACTTCTTTTCTTTCTTCAAGGTCTTCTCCTCCCTCTTCGGGCCTCTTTCTTCCTCAGCGTCTTGGGAGTTGGCCGCATCAGCGTGGGCGCTCTGGCCTTGTCGGGGCGGCTCCACCATCGTGGGCTCTCTGGCTCGATGGGATGGTTGCGTTGCTCCATCATTGCCACATCTTCGGTCCTTCCGCTGTCTCCTCTTTGGATGGCGGGAGTGATGGAACATAGATCGTGACTGGAGATGTCTCCTCGTCTGGATAGCCGTGCTCGCATTGGCTCAAGACGAGCCGAGCTCGAGAAGCTGTGAACAGCGCAGTGAAAAGAGTCCGCACTTCGTGCTGTGAGGGTTGAGTGTAGTCTTGACCTGAGGTCCCTCAGGCCCTGTAGCTGTGCCACGAGTTTCAACGTGGTAGCGGAGCTTCGTGCTCCAGCATGGACACTGGTGAAGAACGTGTGCCTGGACGAGACCGTTCTCCGAGAGGCCGCAGTGCAAGCAGTCTGCGTTCCACAGGGCTTTCTGGTGCAAGGTCGCCGTGGGAGAAGAGAACGTGGAAGGTCTTTGCCAGCGCGACCAGCTTCAGTTCCACGCGGAGTCGACCCAAGGCAGTGGACAGCTACGACTGGAGCAGGCCATCAGCCACCAGTTGGGGCTGTGCCTTCGTTTGGACCTCAGTTCTACAGATGGGAACACCCCCTCAGACAGCACCACAAGAACCCTTTCAAGTTCCGAATCTGCAGTTGCCCATTGCACCTGGAGTAGCTCAACAGATGGAGTTCACAAGAGCAATGCTGCAAGCACAGGACGAGCAGATCCGACAGCAGGCAGCTCAACTTCAACAGATGAGTGCCATGCTGACGCAGGCATTGCAGCTTGCAAGTGCGAATGCTGTAAATGCCATTCAACACACATCAAACCCACTCCACCATTCAGAGCACGGTCAAACTTGGAAAACATAGTACTTTACACTGTCGAGATGGGGCCATGTTGCCAAAAGGTGCAAGACGAGACGTTGGTGACATGTTGAGGCCAGCATCACAAGCAGCCCTGCACGTAGCTGGTCGGACTTCAGAGCTGTGGTTCAGTGTTCTTGAATCCCCTTCAAGCTCCCCCTTAAAGCTTCCCTTAAAGCCCCCCTTTAAGTCCTTCAAGCGCCCCCCTTTCAGCCCCTTCACCCTTTTAAGCCCTTTAAGCTTCTCTTAAGCCCTCTTAGGCCGCTTAAGCTCCTTCAAGCCGGCTTCAAGCCCTAATTGCCCCTTTAAAGGTTTGCCCTTAGGTTTTGGATTTGTTTGTAAAGAGTAAATTGGTCTTGAAAGAACCTTCGCCATAAAAAAGACATCCGTTGAACTCAAACCAAGACCTTTGTCGCCTTTGCCAAAAGAAAGCGCAGCTTGCAAACTTCTCCAGCATAATCTACTGTGCAGTGTCGCTGCACACTCTTTCCACTGTAAAGAGATGCAAGAAGACCAAAGTGGAACATGTTAAAGCAGCAACCGGACTTTGAGTTTGCTCCTCCAAAGGCCCCAAAACCATAATCCTAAAATCAGCCAGGCATCTTAATTCCGAAGATGCACAAGCACCAAAGACCAACTGGAAATAGCGCCTGCAGGCTGCATTTGCTTTTGTGTACCACTGCTGCTCTAGAGCCTGCAGGGCTTGTAGAGTCCGGTTTGGGGTTTGTTTTTGCCAATGTTGTACCCGGGTTTGTACATCCTAGCCGCTAGAAACGGAGGTTTTCCAAAACTAAGTTTCTTATTTTTTTTCGAGCTGGTTTTTTTCTTGGCCCCGGAATGTCTTTTTCTGAATCTTTCCGTGTTTTTTTGTTTGGAGCAAATGTTGGGGTCAAGAAAAAAACCTTTGTCTTTTTTTCAACCACAGTGTGGGGAAAATGCAACAGCTACAACTTCATCGTCGACGAGTCCTACCCCTGGAGGAAACCCCTCAGCATCATCTGCGAATGCATCGACCCCTGTGGATATGGAAGTAGACTCTGGTGTACGAAACAAGAGAGCAGAGGGCTACATCCCACAATTGCCTCAGCTGAACTATGCGTCCATGACGAGTAGACATGCTGAAATCCGAGTTTGGACAGCTTACAGAGACGAACTTACAAGCTGGCTTTGTTTGCTTGACGATCGGTACGCTACGGAGTTGCAGGAGGCGATGAGTAGCAGTGTGGAAGTCTTGCAAGTGAAGCTTGAAGCCGGGAAAGCAGCTCGGTCGACCAAACTTTGGTTTTTGCTTCGTCAGTCCATGAGCAAGTTCCAGCGTGGGCAGGATTTGGTGCATCTCATCGAGGTAAAGCAGATGGGAGCAAGTGCCGGATATGAACTCTGGCATTCTTTGAACAATGAGTTGTCCGTTCGCTCCAGAGTAGAAGGACAAGCCCTTCGCGAGCAGGCATTAGGCCTGGTGCCGCCGAAACACCTCAAGCGACCACTTGATGTCGCTAGGTGGTACACCACCGAACTCCTCAAGTTCGAGGCGCAGGTGAAGCATCGCTTCCCGGAGTTGCTCATCGGAGAGCAAGAGGGAGTCTTGTGCTTGATGAAGCACTTAGATTCTGAGACCAAGAGGTATCTGCTCCTCCATCACTCAACAAGAAGCATGAGTGAGCTGATGACTGGCTTACAGTTCTACGACGAGCAGCTTCGTGTGATGGACTTCCAGAGAGAAGGAGCATCCGGGTATGCGAATGCTTTCAAGGGCGGTAAGGGCGGAAAGGGCGACAGAGACAAGGGCAACAAAGGCTCCAAGGGCAACAAGGGCAACAAAGGCGAGAAAGGAGAAAAGGGACTGAAGGGCGGCAAAGCGAAAGGAAAGGACAGGAAAGGTGAGCGAAGCGGAAAAGGGGACAAAGCTCGAAACAAGAGCAGAGAGGCGAAGAAGACGGATGTCTGCCGGAACTGCGGGAAGACTGGACACTGGGCACGCGACTGCTGGGCACCTCCGAAGGACAAAGCCGCAGCGGCGACGAGCCAGGCCGTTACGACGCAGCCAGAGGCACCATCATCTTCATCGTCTACTTCGGCGAAAGCAGCAGCGCAGCCCACAACCAAGGGTAGTGGAAAAGCACAGTCATCAATCAGGACGTTTCTGGAGGGATATCACTTTGGTATGATGCTCACGAACCAAGTGGTTAGTTTTCCTTCAGATGATCGCATTTACTGGCTGATTGACTCTGGTAGTTCGTTCCACATCATCACGAGAGAGACGCTTGAGAGCGACCACGTAAAAATCCTGAGTTGGTTGGAAGGACGCCCGAAGTCATATGCGGAGACTGCGACTGGAGATTCCGTTGAAATTGGCGGATCAACACATGTTTTAGTGGAAGTTTGCTTTGAAACCACCACCCCAGCATCATCGAAGAGCAGTTCTGAGCATGAGGGTGACGCTGTGTACATGTGTAGGGCTAGGTTTGAAGCCGTCATTTCCGATCAGATCAAGCACAATTTGCTGAACATCAACTTGCTTTGTCAGAATGGAGGTTGGGAGCCAGCGATGTGCGACCAGCAGGGCGTAATTACCGTCCGAAAGCACGGCGTAACGCTGAGACCAACCATGTTTGCTTCAGTTAGTTGGCTTGCGTCAG